ATGTGGAAAATGACTAAGGCCTACGATGTAGTCCACATGCTTCGATTCCTGCCTTCCTCCAATCCAGGTGGGTAGACATTTAAAAATAAACTTACTAAAGCTGAGGTTTGGGTTCTATGAAACAACTGACTTGTCTGCAAACTTGAATTTATTAGAAGACTTTGGGCAGGGTCTGGGCAGGTGAGGGGAGGATGAGAATGACGGGAAATCGGAAATTACAGAGTCCATGGGAGGTTTTGGGCTTTACTCAGAAGAACAGTAGGCACTCAAGGACCCTACAATAAATTGGCAGCCGACAGCCCATCACAGAGCAATCTGCTAGTGCTGGGTTGACTCAGCATTAATTTCTGCATTCCTTCCATCCTTTTATTACATACTCAATATTCCAAATCCTGGGAGTGGACATCTGCATGGACATCTGCATGTTCACTTTGCTTCCTCACCAGCCGACTCTACTCTAATCACCTAGACAAACTTTGAGTTTAGGAGATAAATTAAGATTCTTATTCTTAGAATAGTTATGCTTAAATTATTTAGTTATTGCTGTAAATTATTTGCCTTGCCCAGTAGAATGTAAACTTTGGAAAAACAGAGACTTGTCTGTCTTATTCGTTGTTGTATGCCCAAGAGCAAAAAGCAGTACTTGGAAAATAATAGTAAATTTCTCAGTGAACCATTTTGGATGGATGGTTGGATGAATGAATGGATAAAATCAGAAGGGCAAAGACAGCACTTGAACAATGGTTGGGCAGTCTACTTCAAATTACCTGAGAAAGATCTCAAAATATATCGCCTCTTTTGTCTTTCCCTAGTTTCTGTGTATCTTAGTTCTCCATCCAGGAGATTTCCAATATCATGTCTCTGGGTCCTTGATGATGGTTAGGTAATAGAAATAGGAAAGTAAACTTCAAGAAATGAGAGCCTTAAGGATAGCAAAAGTAAAATTTTAGTGTATCTTTTACAACTACCCAGAAAAGACTCTACAGTGCATGAAGAAATAGATTATTGTAATTCAAATTATATGCAGCTGTGTTTGTAGCTCTGCTGAAGGAAATATATTCATGTCTATATATGAATGTAGTCATAGACCCATGGGGACACTAAAATGTAAGTCGAGTCTCTTATTTTACTCCCTTCTCTCTTCAGTTTCAGATGGGAATATCAGTGCAATTCTCTGTACATCAAATGTCCTTTTCCTAAAAATTATTGTAGGCTTTGTGGACAAAGTTATTTTTATACAAAATATTCATCATGTGTGAATTAGACTACATTATGTTTGCACATATATGAATCAAAATAAGCAGCAGACTTGCTTTATCTGTAACTTACTGTCCTACTTTGCTCCTAAATATCAGCCTGATGGGATTGGTTAGCGACTTCTGAGTTCTACATTGAATGGATGGAAAACATCAAACAGTGGTCACATGTCTTCCCTTCCAGGCTTCTCTCCACCATATGATCAAACAATTTATTCTGTTGACATTAACAGAAAGAACAAAACAAAGGCTGATAAATTTTATAATTTTTAAATGTAACTGGATATGGATTAATTTTTATCAGTTTATATAATGTATGCAAATTTTAAAGTAATAGCTACTGATAAGTAACTGAATACATGATAACTCACTTTTACATAAAATATTTTTCATTCATTCTGGTTAAATCTTTGTGAAAAATTTGAGAAGTTAATGTCCTAGTTTACGTCAATCCAATGACAGACAAATGAAGAGTTACCAATCTATAGCTTGTATATTCAGGACTCCGTACTTTCCTGGTTGTCTTCTCACTGTCTTGGCCATTCCTCAGCTTCCTTTATTGAAGACTCCTCATCTCCCTGAACTGTTAACATTGGAATATCCCAGGTTTTAGTTTTTTTATCTACATCTACATCCACTGCATTGATGATCTCATCTGGTTATGCTCTCGTTTCTCTCCCTTGGTCAGACCTCTCCCATGGAATCCAGACTTACATATCTAATTGCAATTCCACCTCTTCTACGTGGACGTCTAGTAGGCATCAAGCTTACATCTCCAAAACCGAGCCAGTTCACTCTCAAAACCTGCTTCTCCCAAGGTCATCCTTTGCCTTCAGTTACTTCACACTTAGGCTTAAAACCTGACAACCATCCCTGGCCCTCCTTTTCTGTCATGGCTCCCACATCACGTTCATGAGGAAATCCTGTTGTCTCTACCTTCAAAATATGGGCAGGTTCTGATCGCACCTCCTCTGGTCCAGAATCCTATCTGCTTTACTCTCTGCTACCCTCACCCCATCCTCACATAGAGCTTGGCGATCAGGGTAAAACCTATGTTAGCGCGTGTCATTCTCTGTGCGGGGCCCTCCAGTGGACCTCCATTTCACTCAGAGAAAAGCCAAGGCCCTTACCCTCTGGAAACTCCCCTCACGCTCTCCGTTTCCTTCTCACCCTCCCAGCCACACTGGCTTTCTTTCTGTCCATCTCCCAGGAGGCCCACTCTAGATTTAGGCCTTTGTTCTTGTTGTTTTCTCTCAGCTCAAGTTCTTCATCAGCCATCGAATGGCTCCCTCATCCCTCTCCAGTCCTTCTTCATAGGCCTCTTCCCAAGTCAGGCCTCCCAAACACCCTATTTCTATTATCACATAAATTTATATTATCCTATCTGTCTTTCCCTCTTAGTTTTCTTCTCTGGCATTATCATCTTCCAACATTGTATTTGATCTACTCTTCATATTATTAGGGTCATATTCTCTCATCATCAAATAGGATGTATGCTCCATGGGGGCAGAGATTTTTCTCTGTTATTTTTGTCTGTTATTATCTTTCCAGGGCTGAGGACAAGACCTGGTTAATAGTAGCTGTTCAATAACTCCTTGTTTCATAAATTGATTTCAATTGTTACATTACTGTTAACTCTTTCATAAGGAAGTGTAGAGTCAATGTAACTTTAAGATGTGAAAATCTCATGAGAAATTATTAAAATATTCTAGAACTCATTTAAAAAGTTTCTATCTTGCCCATTTTTACATAGCTCTTTCCATTTGGTTTGCATATTCAAAGACATTATTTGTTCCCTTAAAATATGTGATGAGAAATATCATATCTTTCTCAAATTAATTCATTCTCTTACAAATATTATTTGTGGAACTAGCTTTTCTGAAACGTAATTCAAGATGTTCATGTTAATAGGAAACCGTTGTTCCAGGTCTCAGTCATTTAATAATAGTTAATCTTACCTAGTTCAAAAAAAGGAATTATAATCACATATGTGCAAAGAAGGAGATCATGTTGAAAGAGACAGTGGGGGCATCCTGTGAAATGAAGAGTAAGGCCCGACACTGATTGTGTGCTTCTGTATGAGAGACAGTGTTCTCAGTCCTTCACACGAGTTAGCTCATTTCATTCTCACAGCAACCTGAGCATGAGGTATTGTTATTGCTCATTTTGCATAGGAAGAAACAGGGTAGCAGAGAAACATGCTCTGTGTCACCAGCCAGTAAGTGCAGGAGTTGCTGAGTGAGTCTGGCAGCCTGGGTCTTGGATCTGTGCTGTTGACACACATGGGCTTTTGGCCACATGTGGAGATGTCTGAGGAGCATGTCAAAACCAGAGGACCCCTGACTGACACTCAGCTGGAACCTGAATCGCCTTATCCACGCCTGAGCCTCCTGCTTTGTTCATTCCATCACCTTGATTCCTTTTTAGTTCAGTTCTACCTTCTCCAGAAAGCTTGATAGGGTTTAAGACAAGAAAGAAAAGAAAAACATCCGGAGAATGTATCAATACTCAAATATTTGCAAAATGAGGGCATATCGAGTTTATTCAAATTATTACATTATTGATAACTTGAAGATCTAATACCTGTTAATAATTATCATCAGCTAATATTTTGGGCATTTAATGTAGATGAACCGTGTAAATTTTGCTCTATGGTGACAATCATTGTAAACAGCTACCCTAAGAGATGGGTTTTATCACAATTTTCATTTTCAGGGTAAGACAATAGTGAAGGTATCTTACCAAAGACCACAGAGCCAGCCAGTCGCAGGGTCGGTGTCTGAACTCATCGCTTTCTGACGTCAGAGTCCGGGCACTTAAACTTCCACATTACGTTGATTTTCTAAATGTCACTGCTTTCCTGTTCAAGTGACTATATACAACTTTTTCTTCCTTCGAAAATGAGTCTCTGAGGTGTATTGACCAGGGCATGTTTTGTTGTAGAGGCTTTAAATTCATTGAAGTACAACTAAGAAGACCAGCAGCTCTAGAAAATGCAAACCTGCACCCTTTCTGAAGCTCTAATTGTGTAAGGGGTGAATTAGTCAGTGCTCTTTAGAGAATCAGAGCCAATGGGGTGTGTGTTTATAAAGAAAGAAAGAGAAAGAGATTTATTAGAAGAAATTGGCTTGTGCAATTAGGGGGGCTATCAGGTCCCAAGATCTGCAGGTGGCCAGCTGGAGACCCAGGGGCACGCATGGTGTCAGTTCCAGTCTGAAGTCTGGAAAAATGATGATGCTGAGTTTGAAGGCAATCAGGCAAGAGGAGCTCCATCTTATTTGCAGGCAGCTCAGTCTTTTTGTTCTATCCAGGCTCCAACTGATTGGACGAGGCCCTTCCGCATTAGGGAGAGGAATCTGCTTTATTTAGTCTCCCTATTCACATATCAATCTCCTCTAAACATACCTCATAGACCCACCCAGAATAGTGTTTGACCAAATGCCTGGGCACCCTGAGGCCCAATCCAGTTGACACATAAAATCAGCCATCACAGGAGAGTTCTACTTGAACTTCTGTGCCTTAGACTATGTTATTTTTCTAGGGTTTGCACTACTTTGTGTCCACGTGAACTGCCATATTATAATTGCAAGTAAAATGAAGTTTTGTGTTTTTTTTATTTTTGTGGAGGTGACATCAGATATGTTTTTAGTTCTTGGGCAAATTAAATGTCCTTTTAAGACTATTTTGTTCTAGCAATCATTGTGGAACTTTAGTACGATGATACTCTTTTCTTATTATTTTAAGCCCTTTGTGGAGGTTACATCCATAGGAAGAGTGGGACAGTCCTTTCTCCTGGGTTTCCAGATTTTTACCCAAACTCTCTAAACTGTACATGGACCATTGAAGTTTCTCATGGAAAAGGTAAGAATATAGTGTAGATTTCAAATATGCAGAATAATTAGCAAGAGACAAACATAGGAACAAAGGATAAGTTATTAATGTGTGGATGAGTGAGATAACTAATTTCCTCACACACAGTTCAACTGTTAATTTTGACTTTTTATAAGATTTTGGACAAAAAATGGTCTTTAATTTGTTGGCGCTACAAGTAAAAGCAGAGTTCTTGTTTTTCTCTCTATCAGATAACTTAGATTCATCCATTTGAATATAAACTTGAAAATTAGGTGTAATTCTAAGGAAAAGAGGCATACATTAAGTAAAATATGAATATTGATTAAATAAAAGAAATAAGAAATTATCTAAACTCCTCTTTTCCATGATAAATCTATGATAACTTTTTGTACTTGCCTTGTGTTCTAAGTTCATCTAGTATTATTAGACATAATAAGTCATTTATCTTCACATAATCCAGTGATGATTTACGGAGTAGATTTCATTGTCTGTCCTTTACAGTTAAGTACAGTAAAGACCAGGAAAATTTGCATTTTGTGCAAGAAATGTAATTTATAAACATTGAATTTAGGACTGTGCGCTGGATCTTTTTGTATGTGACTACACTTGTCATTTTTAAGGAGATAATTTGGAACTTTGATCACATAAATATTATGTAGACTTTGTCTTTCCTCTTCGAAGTGAACTCAACTTGATATTAAATTGACATATTTTATTACATATGTTGTATTACACTGTGCCATCATGAATGCATGTTAAGGAAGTACTTGGTCTTAAAGGAAATTAAGAATAAAGAAGAAACAAATTAGGAGTAGCCAAGTTTTGTAATCTTAAAAATATGCATTTTAATTACAAAAGGACCTAGTCATAGTTAATTTTATTAATTTCGCTATAGAAATCCAGAAATAATACTTTGTGGGTATGGTCAATATGAGAACATATGCATTAGGGGCACATAAAACTGTGATTTCAAGTAAGTCATCCCTCAGCTGCATAAATTTACGTCCTAGACCTCCAAGCTAAGATTTTCTAAAGGAGGTTTGTTTAATGTAAATGGGAAAGTTATCTGGTCTTTTGTCACTCAGGGACAAAGACTGTCCCTACGAGCCTAGTGACCATTCCTGAATACCGTCCATTGTCAACACCCCACCATGTTGTACTTATAGATCTATTTCTGTATCTATGTCCCTGTGTCTATGTCTAATCTATATCTATACCTATGCTTTTATGTGTCTCTATGCCTATACTTACCTATGCTCTCTCTACACCTCTACCTACACACACCAGCATTTATTTATTTTTGCTCTTTATCCCTCTTCCTTCTTTCATTTCTAAAGGCCTCTCTGTCTGCCCATTCTCTGTATTTTCCTTTCAAACTTCAAAGTTAGGTTTGTATATTGAGATTATATTTGGTTCAAGACTTCGATGTCTCTAAGCCCAGAAGAAATGATTTTTCAGCAACTGTTAACTCTGCCAATCTCTGTCCCTGCCTGTTTCTCAGGAGTTCAGATGGTCTTTCACACCTTTCACCTTGAGAGCTCCCACGACTATCTGCTGATCACAGAGGATGGGAGCTTCACGGAGCCCGTGGCCAGGCTCACTGGGTCGGTGTTGCCTCATACTATCAAGGCAGGCCTGTTTGGAAACTTCACTGCCCAGCTTCGCTTTATATCAGACTTTTCCATTTCCTACGAGGGCTTCAATATCACATTCTCAGGTATGTTAGTCTCCCCTGCTGATTCTCTACTGTGGCAATAGTAGTACCACTTGCGCGTGTGAGTGTGTGTGCACGTGTGTGTGTGAGATTACAGATAAATGGCTGGTCAATGATATGCATCAGTTGCTTGAAGCAAGATGCAAGGACGTCTACCTGGCATCCACAAAATGCCACTTTGCCCTACATAATTAGCAAATCCTCATCCCAGAAAAATTGTTAATATCACTACCTTCTCCTGAAAAGCCCTTCTCACTCACTTGTCATCATCAATTCCATCAAAATCTCTGAGGAGACTGTCCTTATTGGGAGACATACTCAGAATCAGCTGTCATCTCATTATTTTGGTTCTTACCTTCAGGAGATGCCAATACTTATATTGAAAACCACTTTTAAGGTAAAAAAAAAAAATGCAAACATCCACAATGGAGGATGAGCTTTTTGTTTAGTTTGATGCAACCACATATGGCGACAAAACGATGTTCCAAAATTAAGTAATATTTTTATTTTTAGTTATAATACATAGATAATATTGTGAAGGTTTATGTTATTTTGAACATTATTGGTGTGGGTTAGATTGTTTAATTTGAATGTTCTATGAATGATATTACTATATTTTACAGATGAGAAAAAAATTATACAGACTTGAATACTGGTCAAGCATTTGCAAGATAGATTTAATCACATAAACAATGTTTGTTGAGTGTATAATGATCAGGTCTCCTGCAGTATCTCAGATCCACCCGAGTCAATAGATAGGGAATTACCACTCTAAGATTTCTGATGGATGTAAACAATTGTATTAATTTGCACTTGTGCATATGATGCTTGAGAAAAGAGTTTTTCCACTTCCTTCTTCATAGCCCAGATCTAATATAATTTTCATAAGGCGCTTCCTGAGTCCCATAATCACAGTGATTTCTTTTAAGCTCCCAAAAGTCCCTAATAACATTCAGTGCCACTTAACAGATGCTTTGATACAATTTATATCTCTTGTTCTAAAACTAAAACTCTTGGTAGAAGGTTTTGTGTTCCACCTTTACATCGGTGGTGGCTCTATCCTTGCATATTTTACATATTAGGAAGTTAATAATTACTAAATATTGCATGATCGTTAACAATATATAAAATGAAATGCTGTCTTTTTTTCAGTTTTGGTAAGGCATAATAGACAAATTGAAATGCTATCTTGAAGAAAAAGATGGCATGGGGATTTTAAGATGCTCTGAACATTTTATCCTCCCTGGGATTTTGACCAATCGTCACTTGATTTAATCTGACAGTGTCGATTTTGCCTAGAATTTCACTGCATTAGGCCAGCATTCAGGACAGGCTCAGACTACTGGAGTTCTTGGAAATTTGCCTTAGTCAGTGGTAATCATGAAATTGGCCGCTTCATATATCAAAGACTTAGATCTTCCTAACACTAATACCTTAACCTCCCTCTCTCCATATTCTCCCCGGTGGATCTCAGTTAGCACCCCTATGAGAGGGTCAGTCCCTCTGTCTTACTTTCATCACCCTCCAAAATGAATTTAAATGGAACACTCCAAAGAGAGAAAGTGGCAGCGATGCGAATCTTCGGATCTTTTCCAAAGATATTTCTCTTGAACCTGTGCAGTTTCTGTCCGTTTTGCACCACCTGTTTCTTCCTTTTGTCGGTCCCAGCACAGAGGTGACAATAAGTCTTTTGATTACCAAAAATCACAGTGCAACTATGGAGCTTTCTCTTTTCATCAACTCCCTAAACGAGCCAGCAAGCAAGAGGAACAACGAAACACAATTTTCAGGGTCTTGAGAGATCTTTGGGGCAGTTTTAAAATATTTTGAAATGTAAAACTAAAGTGGTAACACTTTTCAAACATGTGGAACAATTCATTCGCACACAACCAGTTGGAAGTGACCCATAGAGCTGGCAGAAGGAATCATTGTTGTCTAGACTGTGTCACACACAAGCTCAGCCAGTCTTTTTAAAAATAAAAAAAACACACCTTTGATTGAATGATTGAACAGCCAATTTTAAAGTAAACATGTTATTTCAATATGTTAAAGGAATAATCTCATTTGGAAGGATTTTGCCTTGAAACTGCGCTGCAAACAATTGTCAGTGACACTAATACAAAGAGTCTGGTTTTTAAGAGTCCGAATAAGTAGCAACTTTATTATGCAAATGAAGGATTTACCCTTCTGGGGACTCTTCTGATGTTTGTATAAAATCGCTATCCCTTTAAGTCTGGCTTTTCTTTTCCCTGTTAGTCCAGTTCATTTCTGTCTTTTTTAGAAGGTTTTATTAAAGCAGCATTTCTTGATTATGTCTCCCAGTCAACAACCCTGCAGATACTAATGGGAATATTGTGAAAAAAGAGCTCCGTGTTCAAATATGTTTAGACAGAGCCCTGCACCTCCCTGCTCGGTCCTGATGTCAATTACTGATTGCAAACCACGTACACCTGGTGCTCCAGGCTTCCTTCCCCACGCTTGCTTTGATTCCTCTTCCTGAATGCCAACTTTCAGTGAATCGTATACTTTCCCTATCATTCTCTTCAAAAGATAAGAGTTGGACAACTCAGTGCCTTTACGTTTGTAGAATTCTCTTCATTCAAAGGCCCTTTCTTTATTCTTCACCAGACAAAACTTACAACCAGGTCTAACATCATCTGTTGCATGCAGCCTTCCCTCTCTTGCCTCAGGAGAATTATTTTTCCTCCTACATTTCCATAACACTGTTTGCATACCAAAATTATGTGTTTTCCAACATTATGTTGTTGTATTTGTCTGCTTCACTATACATGAATATCCAAATGAAGGGACTGTGTCCTCTCCCATTCTTGAATCACTAGTGACAGGGAAAATGTGTAGAATACTCATTCTCTTATTGTTATTTATTCTTTCACTCAATGAATATTTGCTGAACACCTGCAAGATGCCAGCATTATTCTAGACACTGGAGACATAGTGGAGAATAAAAGGAAGGGCGGGTCTTCACAGGGTCGGTAATCCAGTGGGGAGATAGTAAATGGAGGATATTATCAGAAAGAAGAGAACAGATCAGGGGGTTAAGAGACAAGATGCTGATATACAGAGTTTCTAGGGTGGGTCTCTGATAAGCTGACACTTAATTGCAAAGAAGAGAGAGAGTAAGCCAGGCAATAGAAGGGAGGGGGTTCTCAGAGGAAGGAAGAGCAGCAGTGGGAGTGTGCCAGCTAGTTTAGGGATAAAGAAGGAGGTCACTGTGGTCAGAGCTCTGTCATGAAAAGGTGAGGTAAGTACCTTGGATGCTAATTTTGAGTGTTATGTGAAGTCATTGGAATAGTCTGAATGGAGATGGACACGATCTGACCTTTTTCAAAGCTCATTCTAGACCATGTAAGACCTTAAAACAAAGACCTAGATGAGAGGCTGTTACACAATAATCCTAGCAGGAGATGATGGAGGCTGAGGCTGTGGTGATGGTGGCATTGAATGTGTGGTATGAAGTATGGAGAGGGGTCAAGATTTTCTGCCTGTGTGAATGGGGATGCTATTTTTCTACATAGGAAACATTGGAAGTAAAGCAGGTTTGGGAGGAAAAATATAAACTTTGTTTTGTAAATTTTGGGTGTATATCCAAGAGAGGTTGTCAAGAGTATGGGGTTCACGGAAGAGGGTTAAATAAGAGAAAACAAATGTTGAAGGTCACCAATAAATAGACGGAACTTAAAGACATGGGACTGGGTAAGCTAGGGAGTGAGTGTAGATACAAAGAGAGAAGAGACTACGTTTAAGCAGGGGCCCAGCATTTTGATGTTGCAACGATGAGGAGGATCTAAATCAGCCGACTGAGAAGATGGGGACAATGACCTAGGAGGATAATGGTACCCAGAAGCTAAGAAAGGAGAACCCTTCGTGGAGGAAGAGAGCGTTTAAGTGTATCAGGACCTACTTAGAGGCTGAGTAAGAGGAGGACTAAGGATTGATCCATGGGTTCACATGTAGAGGTCATGGTGGCTCTGATAAGAGCTGCTTGACTGGAGGGCTTTGGAAAAAAGCCTGGATGGATGGGGTGAAGAATGACTGGGATGAGAAGAGGTGAAAATGGGAGGCATCCCCAACTCTTTCAAAGATTTGGTGCTAAAGGTAACCAGAAAAATGGGGTGGTGGCTGGGTGATTGTCAGGTCGTGAGAGTGGTTTTTGTTTGTTTGGGTGGTTGATTTGGTTTGGTGTATCTCATTCATAAAATGGACCCTGTAATATGTGCTCATGGGACTAAACCAAGAGAATTGGTGAAGAAACATAAAGAGGGTAAATTCTAAGAACAAAATCCTTGAGTTGGAGAAAAGACAGAATCCTGAGGGCAATACATTTTTCTTCTGTTAGATGAATAAATGGAAGTGTACACAATGCAAAAGTACACTGTATAATAGTGAGTGAGTGACAACTAAAACGAAAGAATCCTAATATTACTTGACATAGGAGGATAGAACTAATCCGCCTAATCTCATGACATTGGATCAGGCTTCTTATTCCTATAGTCATCTTCCAGAAGACATCATTGGAACTATGAAATAAAAATATACACTAAGCAAAGAACCATAAGGTTGTGTTGTTTCTCTATGTAGTACAATAAGATTAGTGTAAAATAATATCAGATTGTTCTCTTATTTGGCAAGAGTTTTCAATTGTTGTTAAAGAAATGACAGGAAAGATAGGATTTGAATTGAGAGAACGTTAGGAGGAGAGCGACATCTATAAGGTGAGAGATAAAGTTCCCTGGATATTGACATCTTCATTTTAGTGTTTCCTAGAGATTCTCCCACTAGGTTTTCTGCATGATATTTTAATAAATATTTGTTGAATTGAATTAAATGATGGTATCTATTTTTTTTCCTCAGGTCATACTAAAAATAGGTCAACTTAATCAGCATATTTCCAGAGAGGCCAGATTAGTTTGAATATGTTAGAAATCCAGAGTAGGTGTTTTGCCTAAATGAAAAACAGGACAAAGACAATATAGAAAGCATGGACATTAGATGCTGACCAATATGTTAAGTGATATGAAAGGAATATTTGGGAAGAGAGTCTGTTTGTTGTGGGGTTGAGAGGCCAGTGACTAAGCTAGTGGATGGTGGAAACAGAAAAGAGGTATTAGACATGAAAAATACTGATGGGGAAAAAGGAAGAGTTGGGCTTAATATATTCATTGAGAATATTGAATCCAAAATTTAGAGTTAGAACTTGAAAGATGATAGTTGGAAATGAGAAAATGGAGACAATGTTTTTTAGAAAGATTAGCTTAGTTTTCCCACAACAACGTAGAAAACTGTCTTCGACTCCCCCACTCATTGCAACAATGCTCCCCTTTAACTGCTTCTTTATCTTCTTTAAAGCGCTTCCCACCACTCTAATCCCTAACTGTCTTTCCTTAGGCACATGGCCCACTGTTTGATCCTATTTGTCTAAACACTGGGCCTTATGGAATGAAGAGACACAGGCAGTGAGAGGGAGAAAACTCAACAAGTCAGCACTCCTCATACTCTCTAACTTCCCAGTGACAAAAACACAGACTGAATGATGGGCCACAAGACCAACGACAATCAGAATGGCATTGCACCTGTGTACCGAGACTTGAAAGAATACGGCAAATACAAAATGTTGTTATGAGTCCTGATGTTTTGGATATTAATGCCAAAATGCAGCAATATACCAGGCGTTATTCCTTCTTTGTAAACTCGACCTAGCACTTTCTTCCTGAGTAGTTAACAGAAATTTCTAATAGTTTACAGACTATTTTCCATTACATTTCTATAAAGCCTGGGTTATAGATTGAAATTAGGAAAACATTTTGCTTTTCCATATAGAGGTATATTTTAAAGGTGAAATTGCTTACAAAAACCTTTCCACCAACATAAGCCTTGTATTCCCTTTCATTTTATTTTCCATGTCTTTGTTGTCCTAAAGCGCCTTTGCACGTTTGAGAGGAGGGAAGTAACTGACCTTAGCAATTAGAAATATCAGTAAAATAATTTCATACTGTTCAAGTGACAGTTTTGAAGTGGATCATCTTATTTGATATGTTATATGCCTATTTTTGAAAATATTCATAATTCATGACATTTGTCATGAGAGAGCTCATAGTACAAAGGAAAGCAATCCACATGACAGTTACAGCAGAGTTTGGAAATATATATATAGGTCTGTCTTTTTAATAGTAGCACTGTCTTATTCTTGCTAAGTAATTTTTGAGTGTTTACCCAAGTTCCCGCAATCTGCTGTGTCTCTTCGTGTCTCAGAATACGACCTGGAACCATGCGATGATCCCGGCGTCCCTGCCTTCAGCCGCAGAATCGGATTTCAATTTGGAGTTGGGGACTCGCTGACCTTCTCCTGCTTCCCGGGGTACCGCTTAGAAGGTGCAACCAAGCTTACGTGCCTGGGTGGGGGCCGTCGTGTGTGGAGTGCACCTCTGCCAAGGTGTGTGGGTAGGTGGTCACACGCTTTCATTTCATTCATCCAGTGGGGACAGGGCACGGTGCGGTCAGGACACAGCGCCAAGCTTGGCAAGGAGGGCGGGCAGGAGTCTGGGGTGCTGGACAGCGACCCGGAGGGGTGGATGTGAACAGCTCTGGGTTTAGTTATCTCATCTGCAAAGTCAGCCCCTTCCAGCTCTAAAATTTTATGACTGATGAAAAGAGTGAAACTAAAGCATATGTCAAGCATATTTATGAAGGAAAAAATATATACACATAGATATAAGTCATCTGGAGCAAAAAGAAAAATAATAGCTAGAAGCCACACTGAATTAACACAATCTTTGACAACTATGTTGGTGAAAACCAGTGAGTCCTCCTTGGTACAATGATGGTAACAATTTACAAGAGTAGTTTTATTCTTTTCAGTTTAACCCTTTGATTGGATCACTGTGGCATACTTTTGCAAAGTGGCCATTGTTGAAATTTGAGTGCTGAATTAGCTCTTTCAGTGTGTTCTGGAGATATTCAAGAGGTCATTCTGGAGAGTAAGAGGAATCTTAATTAGGTACTCTGAAACGAGGTGCTATGCTAACATGGTGGAATTAGGATGCCGATTATTGTAAATCTGAGGACTGTGCTATTATCAGGAATTTAGCTTAGAATTGTGAAGGCTTGCATAGTTTAAAAATGGAACTTTGCCTACACATCTAAAGGGTCTGGTCATTCTGCCACTCAGTCATGTTGCTCAGCACGTGAGGGCTTTGCAATCTGTTCTCTCAAGTTACTGAAAACTGCCTAACATCCTTGCATCTGATATTTGTCTAGATTAACCATCCTCTGCCTCAGTTGTGAGTTCTCTGGGTCCCTCGGGAGTCAGTAACAATGTTCCACATTGATCTTACCAGTTGATAAAGCAGAGGCGGGTGGGGAAGTTGTGAAAGTAAGATTTCATGACCTGTAAAACTACTGAATTGTTAACTTAGTAACACCAGATTTTTTCCCGTGGTGCAGAATCTCTTCAATTATCCGCATTATTTAGCAACATTATACCACTGTCTCAGGAAAAAAAGATACAGTATTTTGTAGATGATCTTAGAGTTTCTAGAGTGCTCAGAACCCGTATTCCTCAGGTTGGAAATTACTGAATGGGAGAGTTTAAGATCCAGAAGAAACTCCCAACCCAATGAAATCAAAACCTTGTTCCACAGACGTAACATTAAGTAGTCGATTGATTAGAATGTTCCCTTTGCTGTTATTCTATTTTATCTAGATTCATTATCTTTATACCGTTATTCTTGTTATTTGGACTTTTACACTGTTCCCTAAAATATCAAATGAGAAGTACCTGGGACTGAAATAATAGTTAACGTTTCTTGAGCCCTTGTCTGGACCAGGCGCTGCTCTGAGCTCTTTATGTGTATTAGCCTGTTTAATCCCCGAGACATCCCCGGAAAGTAAGCACTGTTATTGTCAGTTCCGTTTTACAGATGGGAACACTAGGACACAGAGAATCTGAGACCTTTGCCCATGGTCACACAGTCAGCAAGATTCAAATGTAGGCATCTGAGACGCTGTCCCCATCGCGCTGTGCCGTGAGAGCCCACGGGCCGTGCGTGCGCCTTTCTGCTTTTAGCCTTTTGTATTTTGCCTGCTGTGTCCTGATTTCCCTTCCAGTCCATCTGGCTGCACGAAAACCCACCACGTGACCCATGTGGCCTCTGGGAGGTGTTCTTATTTCTCTCTTTCTCTCTTTCTCCCCATCTAATTAGTGGCTAGTTCTGAAGATTCTGCCTTCCACACATAGTCACGTCAGCCTCCCCGTCCATCCTCTCTGCCCAGCCTGGCGAAGGCTCTCTCACCTTCGTGTCCTGAAGATTCCAGGACAGACCCCCCACCGGGTGCCGCAGCTCCTGGAGTGATCTACCCAAATTCAAACCCCATCCATCCGTCCTCCTTAAGAGCAGCTCTTCATTCTCTCCCCATGACATTCAAGACAAACTCTCCCTTGACTCTCTCACGAGGCCCTTCACCCACTGACTCTCCAAATGCTGCCCGGCTCACACGTGTATCCATGCTCGAGCACAGAAAGCCTGCGCAGGTCCCAAATCATCATGGTTCTTGTACCTGCGAGCCCTTCTCCATGCTGCTCCATCAGCGAGCAGTGCACACCCCTCTTTTCTGTCGGGCTGCCTCATCTCACGTGTTCCCTTTCTCTAGCCCCTTACCCCACTGTCCCAAGAGGGAGCCCCACACTATGGCCACTCCGTTAGCCTTGTCTTCACTTTTTCTGCCTCCCTTCAGTAGGCTGGCCTTTCCTTTACAGTGGGGGCCATCTTATCCCAAAACTCCAGCTCTGTGCCTTATGCAAGAGATGATGGTCAAGCAAACAGAGATTACTTCCCTCAGAAGCTTCTCTCTTGACCTCAAAATTTGATTCATTAATACTCCCTGCCTATCTTCCTTCCTTTAAAATCACAGAAATAAGAATGATCCATCCATGGCCGAAACTTGCAAGTCCATTCCAAAGGTGATAGGTGACACTGGGATAATGTTGGCTGAATGATAAGCATGCTATTTTATCTTTCCCTGATAAACATGTGATCTTAAATAGAATTTCTAGTGAACACCTGACCTGAGAATGATTTTCCTCTTTATCAGGTCACTCACACATGAAAGAGAAATAATTTTTATTTGCATTCATTCATTTTAGGATTATTTCTACCTAATCACTTATTTAGGATACTGGAAATAATATCATTAAGCACTCTCCGTGATGCATAACCCCAGTAGAAATGAGCAAGCCCCTTCTTGTGCCACCTTTTGCCTGCCTTATATGTGTATCATTCAATATTTTTTATCTGAAAGTTAAAGAATAAAGTAGCCAAACTAGTTTAAGTAAAAATGAAGGTTTACTGGCAATGTGACTGAACAGTCCTTAAGTTGGTATAGCTTCAGGTGAGGTTTGATCAAGGATTCAACCTTGAGATCAGGGAACTGATACCTCATCATCTCTCTGTTTGGCCAAACTGGGTGTTGGCTTTATCCTCAGGCTTCACATGCCCATCAGGAAGCTCCAGGCAGCTCCCTGCCCTCCTCGCTGGGCTGCCACAGACCAGGCTCTTGTATCATGACATATAGTGTAGTAATCCCAACGTCAAGTTGCCCAGTGGATACAGCCTTCCCAAGATGGCTTCTGTGCATGGCCTGGACTTCCTCGGATTGGCCCAGATAGAGTCACATGCCTGTTCCTGACAAATCGCTATGGCCAGGACAGTTCTGGTTGGCTTAGGATATTTAAATGCCAGTCTGAACAGCTGTTGACTAATTAGGAAAAGTGCATATTTTGTGATATTTGTGATCTTTGAGAAATTTTGTGATATCTCAGGGATAAGAAGCAGGGGCAGAGTTAGAAAGCAGATATGATGGAGATGAGTGTCTCCTAGAATTCCCTAATCTAATATTGCATCTGTGAATGTACACACAATTCTGAACATCCAATTTTCTCAGGATATTATAAGCCTGTATGTTTACATAAGAATAATTACTAAATATTATCTGATAAAGGAAATTTTCAAAAAATCAGAGGCCAACTTGGCGGCATAGTGGTTGAATTCATGTGCTCCATTTTAGTGGCCTAGAGTTCGAGGGTTCAGATCTTAGGTGTGGATCTATACACTGCTCATCAACCATGCTGTGGAGGAGTCCGATATACAAAATAGAGGAAGATGGGCACAGATGTTAGCTCAGGGACAATGTTCCTCAAGCAAAAAGAGGAAGATTGGTAACAGATGTTAGCTCAGCACCAATCTTCCTCACCAAAACAAACAAACAAACAAACAAACAGTGAAAACAAGTTCCCTCTTGTTGAATATCTCCACTAATTCTATTTACTGGACAAAGTATAATGTCCTTGGATGAAATAAAATAAGAAAGAATCCCACACTGCTATCCTCAATTATTTAATGGATTATAAATATTTCAGAGAGGCATAGTAGAACAAGATATCCTGCCTGTATTTTGATAAAGTAAATTGACCCTTGAGTCTTTTGGCCAATTCCATTTAAACATTATTTTCTTAGGCCAGCCAGTCTGTTGTTGCCATTTATCTTTTAATTCTAATTTTTAATTCTTTAATTCTAATTTTAATTAAAAATAGGAACATTATATGCAATTGTTAGATATTCTTTGTGAGAAAAATGGAATTGCACAGTTTAAATAATATAGATTTCATATATAGAGAGAGAGGTCGACTGATTTGTTCTAGCAATGAAAACAAACTTGGTTTAAAATAGAAATAAAATAGACTTCCGTCATTCTTTCAGTATCAGTTTTCTATTTCTGTGCTTTTAAAATAAAGCTTCCGGAGCATATGCATATGTTAATTCATGTAAATTAGTGTGTTCTGAATTTCACAATGTTCTCAAAGGCCCCAGAACAATTTCCACGTGAGGTTAAACGTCCATGTGTGATGTGAGGCATCGCACACCCTCGATATTATTTAGGTGGACAAGTTTCTTCATTACGGATCTGAATCTAGTTTAGTGTGTTAAACAGGCAGATTGAGACATTATATATTTTCAACTATCTTACAATCAAATAAATAATAAATTAATATCTTCAATAAAATATTTATTAACATTGAATCTTTATCAATTCTTACAGATCATACAGTTAATGCTCTGGGTCTTGGACCTCCAGCCTCTGCGACCCTGAGAAACAGGTGTCTGTGGGTTAAGACCCGCTCAGGGGCGGTTCCTTCTGTCAGCCTGAGCTGACAGTGAGTTTCACAGGTCGGCGCTTTTGTACAGAAGAATTAACTGAAAAATCAATGCGCTCCTTTCTACCAAGCTAATTTAATTTTAATTAGTTTAGTTCCATTACAAAACTCTAAATGACGATTCAATTTTAATTACGATTTCAGGAGGCTCTTTATAAGAAGAGCAAATGATTCATATTAAGGAAAATTATATTCATTCATCCTAAAGTAATTTTAAACGGATTACTGAAAG